CTCAAGCTTGAGCTTGGCATTTTTTTAGTGAAGGTCAAGTGTTTTTTGAGCTTTGAATTGCTTGCACTTTCAGCTTTTGAGGTTTTCTTGGTCCACTTGTGGTGAAACATGGTTGTGGACAAGAATTGAAAGCAGATGCTGCGCCCGCCCCGAGAAGTCACTTTTTGGCTTCGTTTCCCAGTTCTTGCGGGGCAGGAACCTCGGAGGCTGGATTTTCTCGGTCGTGTCAAAGCTTCCATTTTTTCGATGCGATCACTGGCGATCACATTGAACCTCCGATGGCCTCCAACCTAAGAGCGATGGCCTCCAACCTACAAGCGATGGCCAAAGTGCAAAAACTCTGACAGGATCCCAATTGTGCAAAGAAGGACTTTGGCTCCTGCGGAAACGCCTGCTGTCTTGCTGAGTTGGAACTGCAACAAAGCCCTCTGGAGGTGCGGGGAGGACTAGACCAGAACAAGGTGAGGACAAAAAGGGGCACAATGCGAGGAAGTGCCAAGATAAAGATTCAATGACTGCGGAAGTACCGGATCTTCTCTACTGATTTTGGTATTGGTAGCTTCTCTTTGAAGTCAATTCCTTCTTCCTTCAAGCCTTCCAGTCCACTTTTGACATGCACTCACATTGCATTCATGCCTCCCACTGCCCCAGTGTAGCCAGGTCGGAATCGAACAAACATGTTGCAAGCCCAATACTTATATAGTATACATGACATTCGTTTGTTTAGCCAAGCAAGCAAAAAACTGCCGAACCCTACATTGCTTGATGCAATCATTCTGTTCATTTGGGGAATGCAAACTCCTCAAGATCGTATCCTTTTGATACATTCTCGAGCAGTCTTCCATTCTCCATGCCTCCCTGACAAGGTTTACACGCAGCTAAAATCCGACTTAGAAAGCTCCGAAAAGGACGGCTTTGAGTATGTGACGGGTGGAAGCCCGAACCCGGCGGATGATCTTCGTCCTTACAATATTTCCAGCCCAAAGAAGTTCCAATTCATCCTTCAGGACGGCTTTTCGATTTTAAGCTCGACGTTGTTTTGTTTTTTCTTTTTTCAGAACGATTGACATTCGAAACTCTGGAGGGTCGTCACAATGCACCAAAATATTTCGGTGCCAACGGTGACATCCTGAACTTTGCGATCTATGAGGGAGATGCACCCACCAGTTCTGTGCTGCGGATGTTCTCCCTGAGTCGCATTCACGGTGCGTTGGGCGACAACGGACAAAACTACAAAACTCTGTGCCCTGCTGATATTAGGGGGCAGGGTTCCTACTTCCTCAAGTATTTTGGTTCATGGCGACGGGTGCTACCTATTGAGGGGTTTCATTCTTGCTGGATAGAATGCCAGAGACTCATGGATGGCACCTTGGCTGTGAGGGTCTCAGGGCCCTGGGATCCACTAGGCCCTTACCGGGCGATTTTACATGTGCGTCACGAGGTCGCTCTTGGCGAAGCGCTTGAAGGCGGCGAAGCGAGTGAAATATGGCTGCGGCACTGTGAGTGAATTGACTTTTGCGTAGAATGACAGATTCACCCTAGAGGAGTTGCCTCTTTGAGTGACAGTCAAGCTCTTTCTGGTGGGCTTTTGTCACGAGATTCCCAATCAATACTCGTGATCTGCGTGCTCAGGCCTCCTTTCAAGTTTTCCTTGTTGGTTCACTCCATTCTTCCTGAGCTTCATTTGATTCGCGGTTAAAGTCAAATCGTTTGGTGGCCTGTTCCGCAGAGGAGTGTCCATATTTTCTGCGTGTGACGCAACAAACATGCTGAAAAAGAACCTAGTAACAGGGGTTGCTTCAAGTATGAGCCAAGGTGGGCGACCACAAAGGATGTCGGCCTCGAGTATTTGAGTTGAAGGTGTTTTCGTTTTTCTCAATGATCTTCGGACGGTTTTTGTGCCAAGGCGGTCACCTCGTACGCTTCTTTTCCTCTTCCGAGACTTGGACAGATTGTGTAAACTGAGCAAACAAGCGCAAGTTTTTCTAGTTATTCTGATCATTTCTTTGTATTCTATTTGTCTTATATATACTTTTTCACTCAATCCTTTCACTTTCAGCATTTGATTTCTTAGGAGTATGACCTTTGTTCCTGCCTCAGAAAATGGCTGGACTTCGGTTGCATTTTTTTGTCTCTTTCAATTCTTTCCCTTCTAGTCTTCCAGTTGCTTGTTTCACGTCTATTTACATTCTTTTTCTTCAATCTACAACTTCCTTGCTGTCTATTCTTTTTCTTTTGGCCTTCCTTCCTTCCTTCCTTCCTTTCTTCCTTCCTCCAATTGCTTTGGCACTCAGCGCCTGTGAGGTGTTGTTGGCGCTGGTCCAGGAGGCTACACAGGTGCCTTTTCCCGAAAGCACCTGCGAAGGGTTCTCCTTCAAGAACCGGCTACCAACTTCAATTCTCGAACTATCATTTTAAGCATCATCATCGACGGCATCGTCATCATCATCATCATCATCATCTTCTTCTTCTTCCTTCCCAAACGCTCATCGAGTGATGATTGCGTGGACCCGGTAGGTCCGTCTTGGCCCTGTAGGGCCTGCCAACTTCAGCTAAACATTCGATCCAACAGCCGTGCCAAATCTCTGGCCATAGGCTGGCGGAATCTCAATGCCAAATGCAAAATACCAAACTGCCTAGGCACAGACACAAGTGATCCTCACTCAGTTCGGTGCCAAAAAAGGGGGCTGACTGGCGCACCACCAAAGAGGGGTGTGCCTTGGAAAGGAAGCTCGCTGCACTCTTCACTTCAGGGGAGTGTGCCTCCAACAATGCACGATGTGCCACTCCCATGTGACTGTTGAGATCTCGAGGCCGGCCTCTGTGCATGGCGCATTTATGACAGGGTGATGCCAGTGACCAGGTTGGTCCACAGAGATGCTAGTGTCCAGGCAGTCAAGTGCTGGAAGCCATTGGGAGTGCCAGTTGTCTTTGATGGAGGGATCATGTATAATGGTGTGCATCTTCTCCTGATCCGTGAGGATGGGAGATTCTTCTGGCAGCTGAGATATTGACTCAGCTTTCCTATGTGGCTTCCAGTTCAGCCAAAGGAGGCAGCAGTCTTCCTGCCATATGAGGGGAAGTAGTGAGAAGTTCACCTGCTCCTTGCCGGCGATATAGATCCACCAGAAGCCACCCTCCAAGACGGCAGTGCAATAGTGCCCGCCCTTGGCCACTGAGCCAAGGTGGTAGGAGGCAGCGGTGAATGGGGTGTGGTCAATCTCCAGCTTGGTGGCCAGGAAGAAGGGAATCCAGACCTTGGTGTTCCAGGCGGGTCGAACATGACGGTCCGTCGAGGGTCGAAGCGATCGATGTGGGTGCATGTGACATCGGCTGGTCTTGGGAGTGCTTGTAGACCAAATGACGCCATATGCCAGCTTGCCCATAGGGGTTGAGCTCGCTCATATAGATCGCAAGGTAGACTAGCGCAAAGCCTGGAGAGAAAAAGAGCAACTTTTGATGTCCAACCCTCCCCGGAGTGCAAGACCGTGGGATGGCCAGCTTGGAGACAGTGAGCCCTGCCTTGTCGGAGAAGAACCAATCTGGTAGTCAATGGAGGCGTCCAAGAGAGCCAGGAGATACCCAAGGACAAAGGTGAATCAGAAAGCTCAAGACTTTAAGGTAGGGTCCCCCTCCATGATGTTCTCCAAGTAGATGGATGCGGGTCCTGCTCAGCAGAGGGGTCTCGCACTAGCCTGTGCCATGGGCTGGCATGGGGCCTGAGAGCTAATGGCCCTTATCATCATCATCATCATCATCATCGTCATCGTCATCGTCATCGTCGTCGTCATCATCATCACCATCATCGTTGGTCGTAATCGTATGAGGTTGCACAGATGCAGGTGATTGATCTGATTGTTAAGGGTTAGCGTCGTCAAGTGCGTAGATGCAGGGTCAACGCCTGTAGGTGATACAGATGTTGAGATACAGGTGACACAGGTGATGCAAATGTCGAGATACAGTGGATACAGGTGTTGAGATATAGGTGCGAAGATCTAGGTGAAGACACCGACAAAGTTCATGTACGCAACTACAATTTCGATATCTTTATAACTACTCTGAAGCCTCGCACTTGCGCCTAGTGTATTGTAAACTTTTGTCGAACATGCGAGCAGCCCCGTATTTTAGTGGCACCTGCGCGCACACGTGCTTGTTGGGCTGCAGGTGCCATCAAAGCTGCACAGTTGGGCTTGAAGACAGTCTGCATCGACAAGTGTCTTGGTATGTGAAGTCTAACTATTTGATGCCTCGAAGGTGGCTCAAGGATATGAGCGGCCAAGAAGTCCTTGACGCAGAAGAAACTGAGAAGCGGCATAGCCGATAACCTTTGTTGCTTCTTTAGTTTTTTCTTTCTCTCGCCCTCCCTCTGCTGAAAGACCCTTCAGCCAAGGCGTGGACCTCCTGGGGGCACTTGTTTAAACGCTGGGGCCTTGAGATGCTTTGAGATGTGAGAATTGAAGACACCAGTTGTTGTTCTCTTCTTGCTTGGCATCTTGCACTTGGCCTGCTTGGCCTCAAGTGCCAATTGTTTTTCGCATGCGACTGTGAGCTATTTGAACATCATGCAGTCAATGCAGTCATGTGCATGAGAAGACCTTGTGTCCAAGGTGGGGTGCATCCCATCCAAGGCTGGTCGTGGTCACTATCCCGACAAGACAATGCACGACCACGGAGTGGCAACAGAGAATTGAAAAATTTGCATTGACGACCTATTTCCAGTGCATCATCTCTTTTTGCAGTTTTTTTCCAGGCCATGCTGCAATCCTCAGCTTTGTTCCACGAGGCCAAGCAGACCTTCGAGTCGTATCTTAGCTGCAAGGATCGATGACTACGTTCTTTTCCAACACCCAAAGCTTGTTTTTCTTTTTTTCTGTCATAATATCAAAAGGAATGGAGCAGGTTCCGTAGCAGATTCTGGATCTGAAAAGTTGGAAATTGTTCTGTCACATCTATATAATCCAGCACAACATGTCTTATACCCTACACAATGTGTTCTACACAGTAGACACCACTTCGTGTGAACCAAACGCAACATGTTTTGTACCACATGGAATATGTTTTTCTGTGTTTGCTTTGCTTCATGGACACACACACACACAACATGTTATTTCATACCATATCCTACATGCTCTCAACTTGATGTGGAAAACACCTCTTCTATTTCAATGCGAATGCCTCAAGTGTTTTTACAGCAGTGATTGCAGATTGGAAAGGGGATGAAATGGATATGGTGACCAGGCGAGCAGTTTGCAACGTGTTATCTTAGGCGTGGCATTATGGGGGCCGTGGCTTGGCGAGCACTTGACCGTTTCAGATGCAAGCGACACAGACCAAGACGTGGAATAGTGGAAGAGATTCTTCAATGAATTTCAGAGCATTTTGGGAATCATTTGGCTGAGGATAACCTTTCTTGCGACTTCACAAAGATGATGGAAAACAAGAATGCAGCAGTCAAGAAGCTCACCCAAGGCCACAAGCCGTGACATTTTGCACTGGCATGAATTTTCATCCCGGCAGCACGAAGCATGTGTTTTTCATAAAACCCCCTCATGCGTCTTGAGGCATTGAAGGCCTCTTCAAGAGAGACAAGGCATGTTGGTGTTCACTATCCCAAGCGTCCGTTAAGCGTTTTGAGTGGCAGTTCCGTTAAGCTTCGCGTTTCAGAAGAGGGCCAACTTGAAACGGCAGTCGTGCACTTGTTGAGAAGATGCCTCGGATCTGCATTCTCATTACAGTATACAGTACCAGTATGTGGGGTTTGCTCTGCTATGTTTTGTGTTTGGTAGCTTCACCGTCGACGCTCGAGGTGACCTACTTGAAGGGCTACGGCAAGCTCACTGGGCCGAACTCCGCAACTTACCTAGAGCCTATGAAACAGCACCCTGTTAATCTTTGCTCGATCATTTTGGTTCTAAACACTCTCTTTTCCGGTGATTATAGACCTTGGTCTCAGATGTGAAGGACAATGAAACATGGTTCTGATGTTCATATAGCTAAGCTCATGTGCTCGATTCGCTTGATGAGTACGTTTTGGAAGCAGCATCTTCAGTTGAGAAGCTTAGACATTGACTATTGCTTGTGTGCAGACAAGATCAGACAAGTGCAGTGCGGAACAAACCGCTCTGACATGAGCGGATTCGCTTTGCATCCAGGTGAGTGTGGCCATGAATGATGGCAGTGAGCAGACCATCACGGCCAAAAATATCATGTCACTTGACACGAGGAGTTGGATTGTGCAACGCAATGATACACGGATTCTGGTCGAGACAGATTACAAAGTGTGAACGAAATCTGCTTTGTGGGAACCGAACTGTGAGTTGACCACCTCATGGGGCTCAACCTCTAAGACACCTGGTGACAAGGCTGGCTACAGGCTCTGAGATTATTGAGAAGCTGCCTTTTGTGGAAGTGGACGAGGAACAGAGACTTAGGCAGAACTCGCTTTGTGATTAGAGACAACGTGTTTTACGGGTTGTTTGACATGCAGGTCCATGTCTCTTCTTGCCCTGTTGCGTGAGCTTCGTGAGCTGTTCCAAATGATTCTGCCTTTTTGCTTCCGCGGAAAGCAGGAGTGTAGCAACATGTCTGTTAGTCGTTGCTGAGACCAAGTACTCCATCTGTGTCCTGTCTACTTTCCGAAAGGGTTGATTTCGTTCCTTTGGATAAGATGGAGGCCAATTAGGTTGGAGGCCATCGCTAGTAACAAGAAGCTACTAGTAGCTCCTGGCAATCATCTTCTGCGCACTCCAAGGATTGTGTCCTCCACAGGGGCATTGGACCTGTTTCGTGGCTGCAAAGAGTTCCGAAGGTAGAGTGTCCAGCAGCAATATGCAGCAGATGTATACATAGGTAAGATCTCATCGTAGCATTTGCTTGCTCGGCATGGTTGTGGCATACACCAAAGGTTCATGTTGGGACTGCCGCTATTTTACCACCCTTCGCCAGGTATCACCAAACCCCTTTGCTAAAAGAATTGAAACCTAACGTCACTCTGACCCTCACTCTAGCTCACAACATGTAGACATATTGCTCTCCAATGCCTCTGGGTAGAGCACTGCGCTGAAGTTTTGTTGCTGCTCCCCGTGGAAGGCCGAACTGCGTTTTCAAACTGGTAGAGCTTCTAATCCCCTTGCAAGTCAAGTATTCCTAGTAGCTTAGTGTTTCTATTAGCTTCTTGCTACTAGTAAGGCACTTGTTACAAGCGATGCACTTGTTCCTAGTAGCTTCTAATCCCCTGAAGAAGAATTTGGAAGAATTTACTCAGGAAGCAAGTGCCAGAGAAATTGGTGGTCATTGGCGGTGGCGTCACGGATCCGAGAGTGAGATTGAAGACTTGGTCTTCGTTTCTTTTAGACTTGGAAGACTTAATTGATTATTTTTTTCTTGTTTGCGTTTCATTTTCAACTGCAACATGTCTCACTTCGAGGTGATTGGATTGGAACTTGGCTCTGTTTACGAGCGGTTGGGATCGAAAGTCACAGCGACTTGTCTATGTTGGTGGAATCCCATCGCACTTTTCTATCCACTCATTTCTTGGAGATGACAGTTTGATACAGCCTCCTATGCTCTTTACTGCGTGCCACATGTCTTTCACTGACTTAGGTGGTTGAATTCTTGCCCACGATTGGCGGAATTGGGATTGATGGCGAGGTCTCAAAAGAAATGCAGAAGATCTTGCAGCTTGGTTGCCACACAGTCGCACATTTCACAGACGCATCCACACAGAAGGTATGGTAATGAAAACGCTTGGTGCTCATGGCTGCTTTTCCCAGGAAAAAGCAAGGCATCAACTTTATGATGTCGACAAAAGTAACTTGGATTACCACCTGGCATTTGTGGTTTGGAAGCTAACATTTCCAACAGTTGTGCGTAGAAAGTATGGGCTCGCCGCCGCACCTGATGGCGTTCCAAACATCTCATGTAAACGTCACTCTTGTGTGATTGTATTTGAACAATCATGGTTGCTGGAGTGTGAGACCATTTGTGCTCTTAGGTAACAGCCGTGGAGAAAACTGGTGGTCTGGTGAAGGTTGGAGAAGCAAACTGCGCAAGTAGAACCAAGAAAGCAAAAGCATTACTGGCCAGGTCACCACAGAGGCCGCAGCTGGCGGTAATGCTGAGACCATGGTGGGGAACTGCTTCCGATGCTTTTTGACGGGTTTGCCGTTTCGCTTTTTCTGCTTTTTGCTAAAGCTACAGTTCACTTCTTGCCATGAGTGCTAGGATGCCAATGTGGTCCTCGTTTGCGTTGGTCGCCGGGAATTCCGTGATGGCCTAGGTGCTGAGGAGGTGCGGGCAGGGTTTAGTGCAACATCATGCAACATCGGCATTCATTTGTTCGGTAGTTACTAGGAGGTGGAGGAGAGATGTGTGAGTCACACAAGTCATACTCGGAAACCGAACCATACCGAATCATCGGAAGATACGCCAAACTGGCCAAACTGCTGATCCAAGGATTGTGTTCAGCAGGTCACTGATGGTCACAGATTCAGCCTTGAAAAGGCAGATCGCAGGTTCAAACTCAACTGCATCAATGCTGGAAGGGACACCTTGAAAGCACCTCTAGAGCGCGATATTGAGAACGAGCAACAGCAGCAGCGATGGTAAGTTTTTTAAGAACGAGGCTGCCACAAAAGTGCAGAATCCGCAACAGTGAAAGAACTGTTTCTATAAGCTGAGCTCTCGTGGGAGACTCCTGCGGATCAGGAAAGGAATCAATGCTTTGTAAATGCGAAGTGTGCGTTTTTTACAGTAAGTTGAGAGAGGGAGAAGGGGAGGGAGAGAGAGAGAGAGAGATAGATTGATTCTAAAGCAGCATGAAGAACTCAATTTACTGAGTTCCGTAGAGAGCTGGAGTTGTATGGTTTCCTGTGCTCTAAGTGCATTGCATGGAGCTTTGCCTGGCGTGTAAGTCAGTGACTCACTGAGATTTTTAGCTGCAGCACTCTCTCAACCCCAGTTGTGTGCACCATGCATATACAGGATTTGTCCATCAACGATTTGTTTAATACTTGCAATCTTCAACAGTTCAGAGAGAGATGGTTTGAAGCAGGCTGGTTTTAACCTGTGTTGGCAAGATATTGCAGTTCGACATGGTCACTACTTACTCGTCGGAAATACACCGTGCCTTTTAAAGTACCGTGCCTTCTCAAGATCTCTGTGCCTTGCTGCTTTCGAATCTCCGTGCTCATCAGTCCTGCCTTTGCTTCTTTTCACAGACTCAAGGCACATGCCAACTTACTGCGCTGGTTAAGCGGTGTTGGCCCTTATATATACGAGGTTCCCTTTGAACTTGGGTCACACAGACACACAAAGCAGATCAATTCTGTGCATTCATGTCAAGCCTTTAACATGCATGTGCCACACTTTGTTTTCAGGTGGGTGTTGAACTTGATGGCAGAAAGATCAAGGCGCACCAGTTGCGAGATGAAGGTGTTCTTTTGCTAAGATATGGAAATTAGATGAAATGAGATTTTCGAAGGAACTTCCCTTTTGTATTTCAGATGTAATTAATTGCCACTTAGAATTCTTGACTTGGAAGGTCGATGACACCTTCAAGACATCCGTGCCAAGCATTTATGCCTCCTGGCACACCTCACAGGTGATACTTTTATATAGAGTTTTCGCTTCATTGAACGTACATGCTTTTGTGCTTTTAGATGCTGTTAGGCACAGGAAATTAGAATCGCTACTTTTTCTTCAACAATTTGGGCGTAAATACAGCAGTATGGCTTGCACTCATTGCCATCAGATTCTGCTTGTCGTCATGGAGTGCCAAGGCCATTGGCGACATCATCCACGGGCCAATGTTGGCCCACAAAGCAGAGGATGAAGGCGCCATGGTCGCTGAGCTGCTTGGCTCTAACATGGACGACGAAAACCGAACACGCAAACAAAACTCGACTTGGAAACCTGTCGCAAGCGTCTTGATCCTTTCTCTAGACCTGCAACAGCCCTTGGAGGAGACATGCAGATCCCTACACGGATTTTGCTATCTTCCCAAACGCACAATCCCAGGTATTTGGCCACTGGAAAGCATCCGCACTTGGACTACAACAATGCCCTTCCGGCCTGTACATTTGCACATAGTGAGACCATCGGACATTCATCTTCGTCAGGTGCCCTCCGTTTTGTACACGCATCCAGAAGTTGCCTGGGTGGGCAAAAGTGAGGAAATGTTGAAGCAGGAAGGCGAGCCCGTGACGTTTGTACTGTATCTGATTTTGAGTCTGCGAGCAGATCGGATTTGCGCAGCTTGCACAGGTGTTGAGTACAGAAAAGGAAAGTTTGCTTTTGCTGCCAACGGGCGATCCATCGCAAACATGGACACTGATGGCTTTGTGAAGGCGAACGAAAACGGAACGACTTTGGAGAGGTCTCCATTGCTCGATGAGCTGCATTTGCAGCAAAAATAGTTTACAACAAGGTAGAAAAACACAAATTAGAAGGGGAAGTAGTTGGTGCCTTTCCAGGTCCTGTCCTGCAAGAAGACTGACAAGCTTCTGGGTGTACACATCATCAATGCCATTGCGGGGGACATCATCAGTGCCCAGATGCAATCAGATCCAAGAAACCGGGGATCTTGAAGGTTGTGCATGATAACCTTCGGAGTAGGATCTTCTGTACCTTGATGTACCTTGTGTTGGCATTTGATACCAATGTTTTCAGATTCCAGCACAGATCAACCTCATACCCAGCTGACCCACATGCAGCAAGACACCGAAAAGCCTGGCAATTCACGAAACGGCGTGGAATCTCTTGACCACAGGTTTTGTCAAAGGGCACTGTTTGGATCAAGAGGAACAAGTTGGATACCGTGTTTGGTTTGATTCGCAACGATTTGTTCAGCCTAAAGAAACTAGAACGAACACGAAACATCCATAGGCACTTTAGCGTCTCCATGAGTCTCCAGTCTGCACTTTGTGCGACCTTTGGTCACTAAGGTGGTGCATGTATCGGCATCGAGTATGGTGCTGCCTCTGAGGAGTGGAGAGATCAGGGCACCATCCTGGGGCCGAACTTTGTTCCGTTTGGCTCGGCTTCCAGTCAACAACGATTTCTTAAAGAATTGAGTTTTGAAATGTTTTGAATAGATGGGTTTTTGAAACAGAAGGTCTTAGCCTTGAGCAAGTTTTGGAGGACCTCGCGAGGGTTTGCATGGCGCATCCTACTGTCTCAGAGGTGGGGTGAAGAAGGGGAGGATATTGGCATCTTTGGACATTCATTATGTTCTTTGATGCGCCTTTTCGTGCGCTTGAAAGCTCAGACCTCAGGTTCTCAAGGGAGCTGCCCAGAAGACTGCCTTCGGTAAAGCCGTTAGCGGATGAGAAGTTGCATTGCAAGTTGAACAAGAATAGCAGTGGCAACACCATCACTGACCATGAACTTTTTTGTTGACCCAATGCGTTTGTACCTGAGGGGCTTGGACCGTTTGTGGCAGTGGCAAAATGCATGTCCACATTCCGCTGTGTTACTGTAAAGTCCAACAGTAACTGCACCAATGGTGCATATCGGCAACAAGATTGGTGGTCTTGTGCCTGTATTGCTTTGTGACTTCAGAAGGAATGAGAAAAGAAGCCTCACAGCTTGCATGCAGCATTCATCTTTTTCCTTTCCCACAAATGTTCAGGTCAATTTATCCATTTTGCTTACTTGTCAATGATACATTTGGTTTCAGTGTGCATTTTTGGACATGCTGGCAATACTTCGAGATGTCGGTGTCTTCGTGTGAGGGCGCAGCTTGTTGAACTGGATGCACTTAATATCCAAAGCTTAACAAAGGAGCCAAGGGCATCGCTACTAGGAGCAAGGACGCTACTAGAAGCGCTCATGCAATCATGGGCCCTAACGGCCCTAATGGGGAACGTCTCAATGTGCCGCAAGGGCACGAGGGCGCACTTGGCATGCAAGTTAAAGACTTTGATCATTACTTTCGTTTTTGTACCCGCTCCTACTCAAATTGTATCAGTAGGCACCTAATTACTTAAATTAAGTAAGAGAGTAAGCTGGTAGCTACTTGAGCTACTACCTCCTGGACGCAGGATCACGCTTCCTTGAAGAAGCGCTCGCGCTAATGGCTAATGATTTGGTTCCTAGATTTTTAGGAACTTGCACATTTGAGTTTGATACTTCGAACGTGACAGAAGATGGCATCCACTACTGGTTGTTTGCTCTTCTTTGGGCTTGGCTCAGCGCGCTGTCGCAGCGGTTTTGATATACCCTGGTAGCGAGCCTTAGCTCTTTTTGGTTAGACATTCAGACTACATGTCGGCAGAAGCAGAGTTTTGCATGCGTGTTCAGTTTCATGTGATAGCAGATCATTTTGGACGCCGATTTCTTTGAGTTTTCTTTTGACACGGATGCGACCTGGAGGTCATGGCGTCTATCGCCTGGGACTGCTTGGGGTGATGGCAAAGAACGACAACTTTTTTCAACTTTAACTGTTGTGCTATTTCATTTCTTTTGTTCCGTTTTCTTCCAATCCTTCAACCTGAATTGGAATGATCCACAGGACAGAAGGAACTTGTATGAGACTACAGCACCAAAACACAGAGAAAAGACAAAAGAGAGACAACGATGGGAAAAAGAAGGCGATAGGAGTATAAGCAAAGACCCAAGGAAACTATATACAATACGAGACCTTTTTTTGCCTTTTCGAAGAGACGGGGCACTCTTTACCTGCCTCTTTTTGAGGACCGGGTTCCCAGTGCGGAAGCTTTGGTGGCCTTTGAGCTGGCATCGCGTGAGGCGAGATTGAAACCGTTCATATGTTCGCACATGTCCATGTTTTTCACGAATTTGACACTACGAGCAGGTAAGTCTACATTATGTAAGCATACAGAAGCGTGCACTGACGGATGTCGACTTTCCTGGGTGCTTCAAGTCCTTCACGCAGGCTATTGCCAACGGCAACTCCTCTGGCTGCGATGAGGCAACGACCTTGGCAACATACCCCAAAACGAGCTGCAACTTGCAATTCACGTAGAAACGTATGACATGTGACAGACATGCGATAAATTTTGTGTAATTACCTTGTAGACTTTACTTTGTTTGTAGCCAAGTTACTATCAAACAGGCCACTGCTTGCCTCGCAGCTGCGGAGGCCGCCGGCTTTGGGAAGGCAGAGGAGGCTGGAAGCTGCAGCTTCTGCAGAGAAAGTCTACTTTGTTCAAACTATGCATAGCCATATAGGCCATGAGCATGCTAAGCACTTCCAAAGTTCATTCCATGCGCAGTAGCATACCCTGCAGGCTTCTAGTCAGCTGTGTGAATCTGCAGTCTTATCACGGTTGAAAATGCAGATTAAGCGTTTGAACTGAGCAACCTCAAGCGCTGAAGGCGGAAACATCAGCCTTAGCAGCGCTGAAGCGCGCCAAAGAGGCAAATGACATGCAATGTCAGGCGCAGCGTGATGCATGCTTTCCAAGCCTTATTCTCTTCATATATTCTTCATTCATATTTTGAAGATTTGGACGTTTTCCAGATTTAAATCAAAAGCGTCAAGGCAAGTTGAGCCATTCATTGCCACAGGCAGCTGCGCATTTGTTGCTCGCTGGCTTAGCAGCAGGGACACATTCTGCCATCGAGGCAAATTCCGCCCGAACTGAAGGTGTCCAGGATTCTTCAACAAAAGGCGCTCTCGCAAGGACTTAAGGCTTTGAGTAAGGGGTAGCCAAGAATAGTTTTGTCCGCTTCTTCACAAGTCAGCCATACCCGGTGTCATGAAGTGCAGAAGCGCACAGGCATTTGCACACCTGTATAGGTTGCAGCGTGGAAGATTCACAAGACGTTCTGACTCTGAATGAGCGTTCCATGTTTTGGCAGCTCGAAGTGTCCTTTTCAGGCTTTGGTGAAGCCTTCCCAGCACAATCCCATCAAGCTTTATGAACCACTCTTTTCCACAGGTTTCGAACTGGAAATACATGCTGCAGTAGGCAAGTCCTTTTCTGCAAAGCGTAAGGCAATAGACTATGAGACTTTTGAACTGATCATGTGCGACAGGCAGAAGAGCATGCCACTCTTGCAAAAGCCCTGTTCAAGAAAATAGGTGGGCAATCAGAGGGAGCGAGATTCCAAAGAAGCTGTGTAAGAGTTTGCACTGCGAAGCGGATGAATCTTATTGGATGCTTGAGAACAATGAGAACCTTAGATATCTCTTCGGATGTTTCAGGACACAGCAGTCAGAGTTTTTCATGGCCAGACGATTGTAAGAGTTTGTCAGCACAATGTGCTTGGCTGGATTGAGCAGGGTTGCTTGAAAAGCTTTATGCAGATTTCAACTTCATGAAGTTCTGATTGCTTTCAGGTGACGAGATGGGCGAGGCCAAAGCAATTCATTTTCACGGTCAGGGTGCCTCAGGGACATGACATCACATCAACACTTCAAGACTTTTGGATAGTCTCCTTCTGGTGTTGAGTGACATGAACAGGAAAACTTGCAAAATCATGACCAAGTTTCCCAAAATCTGGGAACCAAATCATTAGCGTGAGCTATCCTGCGTCCTAAGTAGTAGCTTACTTGTAGGTACTAGCTACCTCTCCCTACTAGCTACCGACTCCCTAGCTAACCTATCCCCTAGCGGCCTACCGCCCGTGGTTAAAAAAAGGAATATCTACAGTATATGTATATATATATAACAACCTCCTAAAGAAAAGACATCTCCAAAGTCTGGTTATTGAAGTTCTGCACCTCAGAGGTTCCATCCACATCCATCCTTTTTCACGGCACACTTTCTTTGCCTTGTCCCACTTGTGCCGGTTGTGTTCGACGGTTTCATAGCAAGGTTGGGCTTTAGCTTGCAAAGGCAAATTCGAGGAGAGAAAGGAATAGCGACTTTTGGACATCAAGATGCTTCAAGATGCTTCAAGCACTTCGTTGTTGAGCTTGCTTGGATTCTGTCTGAAGCACAAGCCAATAGATAGCATATATTTGTTGGGAAGTGTTCTGCATCTTTGACAGAGATACAGTGGTTGGCCTGTTTGTGTGTGCATGGTACAGATGTTATGAATTCTGAATCTTGGGCACAGCGCAGATGCTGCTGAGATCAGAACAGTGTGGTAAGAAGACTCCATGCCTTCGCAACCAGGAGGGTATCGAGATGTGCACCGATGCTGCCATCCGCTTCCGGCAAAAGAACCTCAAAAAACTCGAGGCAAGAAATGCACACCGAAGCAATTTCTTCTTTTGAAGCACAACAGCTCTTGAATTGCTGCCATCACATCATTGTATACCTAAAGCGGTTGGAATGCACAGCAGTGGATCAAGAAACTGGTGTCATTTATGTCATTTGCTCTAGGCTTTAGGGTGCTATTGCATGGGACGGCTTTTCTTGAACCGCTGTCGGAAACCCAGACGTGCGCACGAGCACCAGGCGCTAAGAACTGGGGGAGAGACACGTAGTCGCAAAAATCGTGACATCGGAAGTAGCTTCTTGCTACTAGTAGTAATGGCATGTAACGCCCTTGTTACTAGTGGCGATGCCCTTGTTACTAGTAGCGATGCCCTAGTAGCGATGCCCTTGTTACTAGTAGCGATGCTCTTGTTACTAGTAGCGATGCCCTTGCTACTAGTATGTAACGCCCTTGTTACTAGTGGCGATGCCCTTGTTACTAGTAGCGATGCCCTAGTAGCGATGCCCTTGTTACTAGTAGCGATGCCCTTGCTACTAGTATGTAACGCCCTTGTTCCTAG